TCAGCTCTGCCACCAGACAGAGGAGTTCCTTTGTAAGTTTGATATAGAATTTGCCTAATAGCATAAACACCTTATCTGTATTTAAAAAATGGAATGGTTTTACAGCAAATGGTTATTTTTTCAGCAGAATAGCACACAGGCTTACATAGTATTGATGCTGATTATGGCTTGTGAAAGTATATTGTGCAGTGAATGGGAAAATTTCTTGTAGTGTGATTGCAACTACAGAGAAGTGTGAAATGGCAGGTATAGTACAATTATGAAGCATAATGCATATAGTTAACCTTCTCAGTACAGGATTTTACACAAAGTTCACACCTGGAACTTACATTTCAGTACTCTACAATTACACTTCAGTTACAGTATAAAATTAGAGCAGGAACAGGATATTCAAGCATGTTTTATAGCTTTCTGATAATATGAACTAATGGCAGGTTTAAAGAAATACTGTAATTTCAGTGTAACTAAGGGGTATTTCTAATTCCTGCAACTGAATCTTGTAAATTGCTAAAGGACTTAGCACGTAAAGGGAAAATGAAGGGCAATGCTATACAGTCTTCCGATTTGGGTTTTACATGATAGGTAAAGAAGAAAGAGCACTGAAGGGTAGATTCTGCAGCTGAATCATCATTAAATTTAATTTAGTCCCTCAATTGTTATAAGGTAGATTTAAATCAAGATAAAAAGAGGATGGAGATCTGATTCACTGTAATATATGCACTCACTACCAACTTTCATGATTTACATACTCAGTTTTTTTACTATTGTGCAATAGCGTTCCATAACATTTTTTTTTCTTGTCTTAAACACTGTGAAATACTTCAGGTATTTGCTAGGAAACATTATCTTTGGATTGATTATAGTAATCTAAATGTATTATTGTTTCTTCAGTAATAGCAGTTCTATGTGTACTGCTAATAACATTTAGGATATATGTATTATCTAATTATGTAAGACTTTTACAAAGATTAAAAAAAAAGCACATGAAAAATCAGTACAGTCATATACCTTAAAATCTGTCTTCTGATAGTTATAAGCATATGTATGTGGCTTGTGGAAAACATACAGGTTCCTAGGGAGAAAATGGAAGAAAAATACATATAGAAAAATAATCTTAGTATAAATGATATATTTCAGGTAAATGTCTATTTCATAGCATAAGATACTAATTTTACTTTCATAGACCAGATTCCTAGCTATTTCTTAAAAATGGTTTGAAATTTTTAGTTTCAGAAAAGGTGAATACAGTTCATCTCCAGAGAAAGCAGCTGACATTAATTTCAATCTTCTATAAATTTCTTCAGTTTTCCATTTGAAGTCAGGCCCCTAATTTGTACAATTTGAATCTATCAATGGTAAAAAGCTAATATTTCTCACTTCCATGCCTACCTGAAAATTACTGTAATAAAGTTATCTATAAAATACTACTGTAACAAAGAACTATTTTGTATAGTTTATTAATGTGCCTTTTCAATTCTGTGGTGTTTGCACGCCTTCAGAAAGCTACCTAGTCTCTGACAACAATTTTTTCTGACCTTGATTTAACCAATGGCAACGTAAATAACTTCAGCTTTAATTGAGGTTTAAATCAGATGTCAAGTCCAATGTCTTAAGTAAAATAAATGTTTTGATTATTCAGAAACTTCACAGAGATCCTGATCCATTGCTGACAATTCCTACAATGACTAAAATTTTCCTCATTTCTCAAAGTTGATATGAACTCTGAGCATTCATCTTATTTGTGCTATATCTGAGATATAGGCATGTCATACAAGGAAATGCTTTCAATAGAAATGATTGGTAAAACAAAAATCTTAGGTGCTTAATTTATTCTAAGTGATAAATTCTTCAAAAGCCAATCAAGACACTTTGTTAACAGCTACTTTATCAGTTCACTGCAAAAATAAGTAAACTCTCACCCATTTTGGAACAGGAATAAGAAACCGACAAATGCTCTATACATTAATTAATATTATGGTGGTCTACAAAAGGTCAACAGTACTTTAATGTATGACTCTGTGAACAAGGTTTTGAAATAAAAGGAAATTATTTTGTTTGTCATGCATTTTTCTGAAGGCCTTGTATTCCTGGCTCTCTAAAATTAGTCAGGCAAATCTTAACAACATCTGAAGTGATCTATGGTCTTTTATTCCTAAGTTTCCTGTAGTGTTGCTGGTATAAAAGTTGTACATTCTCTCTCAGAGTGGGAGCAGAGTTTAATATCTGCTCAAGAAAACACTGATTTATGAAAATAACTTCCTTTTTTTTCCAATAACTTTTTTTTTGCCTTAGAATTGTGTTGTTCAGCTGCAGACTGTGTCTGTCCAGTGGCTGATGGATCAGGTATGTGAGCACCCTAATGGCTGCACGCTCCATGACCATCTTCCACTCACATTTCAGACTGACATATGCTTTATGAAGCTTGTGGTTGTGTTCTTTGCTGCACTCTGGAGGCCATACCCAAGACACGATGCAGGGCTCCACCTACAGGGAGCCTACAGGAGCCTCCACTGCCAACAGGGTCAGTAAGTCTGGTCTGAAGAGTAGCCTTGGGACTACTCTGAAAGGCAGATTAGTTATACAAGGATGATCTGTTGAGAAGATACAGGTTATATAGTCATGGTTCACATTTTACCATTGTTATACTGTATATTTTATGGAATAAAACCTCTGTTCCTTACTGGAAACAAACACAGAACTCCTCAAAGCTAATCCAGGTTTCCCTGGAAACAGAAGTCCTTTCTGTTTTGATTTCTTCCTTTGATTTCTTCTCTGTCTGGTTGTTCATAATAGTATCAGCTGTTTCTGACATTTGTTTTGAATCAAAACTACTAGTCTCATGTAATTCTTCTGCAAAGATAAGACGACATACAGAGTCAATACAGTGACAACAGGCATCTTAAAGTAGTATCATTCTTATATTGAAAAATTAACCTAAAACTACCAGGATATTTTCCATACATCTCAGAGTTTAAAAAGAACTAACCCACTGACCTAGAAGCTCAAAAAGTGACTAAAAAACTCTGTATACATATTTGTTGGTTACATCTGCAACTGCAAGACCTATCCTTGCCTCTGGTACTTAAGCAGCATTCCCTGTGATGGTCCTCACACAAATCAATCTAACTACTTTTAAACAGAAATGGATCTGAACTACAATACATGAATTTTCTTGTAGGAAAATCAGAACTACCATACCAAAGTATAAACACAGAAATGCCATGTAGACACATTTTGCAACTATTTGATACCTTTTTAAGTTGTGTTGTAATGTCACTTTCTCTGCCTTTACTCTGTGAGATTCATATAACTAGTTACTGAAGATGTTTAACCTGGCCCAAAAAGAAGTTTTGAGAATAGCTCAGAAGAGCTGAGAATAGCAGAATAGAACAGCTCAGACATGAACATCTATTAATTCAGAATGTTTGCTGAGGAAAAAGATGAGGTAATATCCAGACAGGTAAGGTATAACAAATGAGAAAGTTAATTAGAAAATGACATAATTTATATTTAAATGTGTGTTGTAATATTTCATGATCATCAAGACACAGAATGATATGCTGTATACCTAATGAGTTTATAATCTGAAGGTGGCTCTAAATTAGTTTGCAACTATTTTTCAAGAATTGAAAGAAATGTAATGTAAGGAAATGCACCAAAGATGTTTTTCTCTTCCTTACTCTATGAAAAAAAAAATACCTGAAAGTTATAAAATCTAAGCTTTTTCATAGATTTAAGTTAACATGGGTTTTAGGTCTCCAGTGAAATAATGACAGTGCTTGGCTAACAAATTATGGAGTCACCAGAGCAGAACAACGCCCAATATCATCTTCCTGTGGCTCAATGTTGTTTTTTGTTCATTCTGAACATCAGTAGTAGTGGACTATTGATAGACCTTCCTCAGGATCAATAGGGTCAGTAGATCTCTGCAGCATTCAGATAGAAGATAGGCTCCACCCTATTTAAAAGTCAATACCTACACTTTTCTGTGCATTATCTATGGAGACTGAGGTCAGAGAGAAGATAGCTTTTCCAGTGCAGCTACAGGAAAGCACAAACTGTGAACAAAATGGCAGAAGTTTCCCCACTTGTTTTTGAGAAAAGAATCTTGTGAGAATGTCACTAAAAAGCATATTTTGTTCTTTTTGACCTATGCAATCTAAAGACAGTGCTGATCAGAGCTTCCTGATACAATGATAAGAAAAAATGAAATAAAACTGCTCTAGTTTACCTTGTATGAAGAAATCCCATTTCCAGCTATGAGGAAGTGCAAACATTTAGTGATATAATGAAGACAGTGTTTACGGAATAAAATGATTGATAAATTTGAGCCAAATCGTAAGAGATCTTCAGTATCAAACAGTATTTTTTAAAAATGAATATATTACAGTAAATAATTGTCTGTAATTATCATATAATCAATTCCCTGAACAAATGTAAACACTAATCAAATAAACAGGGATATAATATGAGCTTATTATAAAGTTAAATACTGCAGAGAGCTTCAGAAAAGGAAACAGCATATTTGAATTAAAGAATTTTATGCTACTTGGAACTCAGGCAACAAAGGTTAATGTTACAGTCAAGCCCAAGAGAAAAAAAATTACTTGATGAATAAAGGAAACTATTCAAGTACAGAAGTAATAACAAAAATGCCTTGTAACAAAAAAATAGAAGACAAATAAAAACTAAGAGAACAGCAGCATACAAACTAGAATAATTAATCCAAAAAGCAAAAGAAGAACGAGTAGGAAATGAACACAGATTAGTAGAGTTTATCCCAAAAATCCCCATTTATATGATAAAAGAATACCGTACTGCATGAAATCCCAGAAGTTATTAGAAAGAGTAATGTTTTTAAGTGAGAAGACACATTTTAAGACAGTTTAGCATCAAGCACTGTCATTGCTTTCGGTAAGTGCTCATCATTTTTCAAGCACTGGCTCTTTACTGGGATGCTTAAATGGAAATCAAGCCCCTCATGAACTGACTACAGTTTTGGGTGCCAACATTTATTCAGTTTATGGATGCTTTGTATCTGGGTCTTTATAGTCATGAGCTAGCTGTCTCAGAGAACATAGTAATAAGCAAATTAAAAAGTTTGCTAGCGAAGTAAATAAAAAAGCAAAAGAAAATTCTACTTCATAAAGAAATTTTTTTAAATGGCTCAAAACAGAAACGAGTCCCCTGTGTCTAAAAGTACAAAACCATAAATTTCCCATTTCCAGCAGAAATTGCAAGAATTTAACACAGCAAATATGAAGGTTGTAACTAATTTCCATAACAGAACACAGAGATAATGGTACAGAAAATCTTCAATCCACAAAATGGTACCCAAGATATCTTTAAATGCAGTGTTTTTACCACGACTTTGAAGATTAGCAAATGTTTTAAAGAAAATATAAAAAGTGATCTAGGCAACTACAGATTATTGTGTCAAATGCCAAGAAACTAAATTTCAAATGCAGGCAAATAATAGTAATAATGAGTATAAATGTACAACTTTTCATTTTACAGCAGAGCAAAATTAAGTGTAATAATGTGTTTTAGGACAAATTCTTTTCTTCTGGTAGATTTGCAAAGCCATGATTTCCTACGCTGAGGACATTCTAAAGAAAGACAGTGATGCACTATACTTTTGCAAATCAAATTAATTGTATTTGGTGAACCTCAATAGCACAAAATTTCAATGGACTTTAGCAGCCTAAGTAGTTTAATGAGAATATTTTAAATGTTTTGTTTGGTTGGTTGTTTTTAACAATTATAAAAGAACAGTGATTATCTCAACCTTTTGGTTTAGGACTGAAAAGCAATTATTTATCCAGGAAAGGATCTGTTTATATGTGTGAGTTTACTTGCAAAGTATCACTGTTCTCAGTAAGAATGTTTTTCAAACTTGCTTCAAGTGAATAGAAAGAACTTTCCTGACATTAGACTATGCACCTGTCCAATGACCTGTAACCAAACTCTGGAGATAAAGTTATTGAATTCTCATTCACATACTTTGCAAAATTTGAGCAATTTTAGCAATCATACCTGTACCACCTAATAAGAGCAGAGAGCTCCAATCTTTGAATCCTGTAATGATTACTAATATTTTCTATGTGAAGTTGAAATAAATGGATTTTGCATAAAGAAATAACAACATACGAGTTGAGATGGCCTGAAGATTTTGAAGAGAACTGGAACACAAATTATTTCATTACAGTAGTAATGTGAATTATTAGTATTATAGACCAGAGGATGGAAATATGTCCACTTCATAATTTTCCTTGCTTGTCTATGGGAGCTTCAATGGGCATTTCTTGAGTAGACTCTTGAGTAAGCAAAAAAGGTGGCAATCTAGTTATTGAGGTACACTAATTTCAGAATCAATTATTAGTGACAGCTACAAAAATACTCCAAGATCTCAACAAATTCATGACAGGCTTAGAGAATCATCTATTGCAAACGGCTATACTTCTATTGGGTTTTGGTGTTGAGCTGTAAAAGAATAACCGAAGGATGTATTTCCAGCTCATTAACTTGTAGCATTTTGATACAGTGAGATTCTTCTATGTTTTTTTTCATTTGGTTTGTGAGTTGGTTGGGATTTTTTACTGGGATGATGTTAATAAAAATAAGAATTCATTTCAAAAGACATTCAAACACTACAGTACCTGAAATAATTATCAGTTCTTAAAAATATAATCTCATAATTATATCCTTTGCCTGTACTGAAAATATGTTTACCAAATTTCTTTAAAAACTATTTATTACTATAGGTTTTGGAGAAGTATTATTTACATTTGCTTCAATATATTTAAAACTCATAAATGTATTCTCACTCTTCATTATAATTTTAGTATGACCCAGGTTTTTGGTTGGTTTGGCTTTTTTTCCGCTTTTTTTCTGCTCTTTAAAATCTTATCTTGCATTATTCTATTTGAGGGTTACTAGAGATGGTTGATAGGTTGTACATTTTTCCAGAGTGAAGATAATATTAAAAACTGTGAAAATATGTAAACACCTTGGGTAAAATTACTGGGTTTAAATACCATAGAAGTTTGAATGCTGTGCACATGCTTTAACTGAGAGGATAATTAATGTATTTCTCATTTATTGGAAGAGGGGATCATAGATACTTTACAGAGAACAAAATAAAAATTAAAAATATTTTTTAAAAATGGCATTCTCTGCCTTTTCCCTCCATATGAATCAACCTTCAGAAATGCTTAAAAAGCAAAGGTACACTGTACAGGCTTCTACATGGAATGAAGAGTTGGAAACCAAAACCAACATGAGTGTTGCACGTTATGAATCATGGTGTAAAGAAAGCATGAATCCTATATACATGTTTCACATGTTCTTATGCTCCAAGATTCACTTTCAGAACTCTGGTAAAAAGACAGAAGTTTCCTGGCAGTCAGTTTTAGGAGAGGTTCATTGCGCACTAAGAAAATCTGGCCACTTTTAAAAAGAAGGTTTTTACTTACTTCTCCTAACCAAACTCTTAAAACATTCCCTAAAAAAAGCACTCATTTTCAAAGTGAGTCAGTTCAATACTTTTCAAATACTAATCTCAAACACATTAAAAAAGTAATATTTATTAAAATGAAAGTTGTCCTTTATTCTTGCCTTTTATTTCAGAAAAAAACCCCATATAATTCACAGTGATAAGAAAAAGAGCTTTGTTTACAAAATCCAGCATATTTTACTGGAGAGTAACTTATGAGAAGTGTTATTTTTTTCAAAATATTCTTGTGAATGAGAGATTTTTTAAACCAATCTGAAGATTCTAGTCTATGTACTTATACATGTTATTACCTTGAAATCTTTTCCTGTAAAACAAACACTCATAAATAGGAGTGATGATGTTTGTAGATGAGGATTAACATTGAGGCCAAACAATATCAGAATGGCAAAAGTCTGAATATAAACTTTAAACACATTTACCTTTACTGGGTCTCTCTGCATTTTTCTGCCGAAAGAGGGTGGTCTCCTATATGGTGAAAAATACCAAAGATCAACAATGGTGATTATAATCTTGTATTATACTGTTACAGAAAATACTTGGATTTGGGGCAGTCCTTCCAGAGGTGGAGACACAAACTAGTAAGCTATCACTATGATATATATTCTTTTTTCAAAAAGAAAATAAAAATAATGAAATTAACCCTAATACATACATATAGATTAACAATAGGCTGGTGTTTTTCTAGAGAAGTAAAATCATAGAATCATAGAACATATTGGGTTGGAAGGGACCTTTAAAGATCATCCAGTCCAACCCCCCTGCAGTAAGCAGGGACAATGTTACCAGATCAGGTTGCTCAGAGCCCCATCAAGCCTGACGTTGAATATCTCCAGGGTTGGGGCCTCCACTACTTTTCTGGGCAACCTGTTCCAGAGATTTACCACCCTCACATTGAAGAACTTTTTCCTAATATCCAACTTAAATCTATCCTTTTGTAGTTTAAAACCATTACCCCTTGTCCCATTTCTACATGCCCTAGTGAACAGTTCTTCCCCAGATCATCAGTCTATTTACACAGTTGTATATTTTTGCAGGATAAAAAAAATTTTCTAGAGAAAGTATATTTCCTGCATTGGATTAATGCTTTTACATAAGCTTTCACATAATCTATCTTTCTTCTAACAGACTTTTGTTTCTGTATCTGCTTAAAGAATAGATCAATTAAAAAATTACCTCAGAAACGGCTAGGTAGTACTTATAGTCCTCTCAATTATTTCAGCACCACTCAAGAGTATCAAATTTTAACCTCCATGTTTGTCATAGTTTTGGGCTGGGCTGGCCACTAAATGATGGATAGGTGTTCTCTATTAACACCTGTTAACACCTACTCTATTAAGTATAAGTGATCTGATGTCTGAGACAAAAGCTGTTCCATATGCCTACTCCTCTGCCATTAAAAAATGTTCTTTGATATTACTGTTCTTTGACAATAAAATAAGTTCTATCCTAAGAACTAATTAGGCCTATTCTAGAATCAGTTCTGTTCTTTTCTATTCTGCATTTCCATTCCTGGAAAGTATACAGAGGGCTCCTTTTCCAAGGAGCATTTCTTGCTGTGCAAGCATACACATTGCTTTGCAAGTGTACATGCAACTGTCACTGGCAACAGCATGCCTGATTGCTGCAGCATCTTTTGTTTTGTATTAGTGGTAGAAATAAAAAGTAGCCCGCTCTTTTTTGATGTTTTTGCCAAACAACTTTATCCTGCTCAATCCCATTTCCGAGCCTGAGCTGCTGAACTAATATGAATAAAATATCCACTTACATTTAAAGTTGAAATCTAATTCGTGAGCTTTTCAGAAAGTCCACTCATTAGATTTGCAGATAGAGTCCTTTTCTCTGAGAGATTAAATTCTTTGATATTGTTAAAAATGCATGCCTAGTCATCCTTCCTTCTGATTACCCTCTTATCTGCAATGTGAAACACTTTGCGCAAGACTAATTTTGCAATTAAAAAAAAATAATTCTTTTTATTTTTACAAGAGAAGGAGTGCAGGAGAAAGATATTCCACACTTTCCAGCTTATTTCCTATTCGAATGTGGTACTATTAATGGGTTAAATGGACTAGCTTTGCCTTTGCAAAGATAAATATTAAAGCTTAAAAAGGCCATTGCAAAAAATTCTGAAAGCTTCTTTTCATCCCAGGTCTCCCTTCCACAAGGTTTTTCATCCTTCCCCCTACCCAAACTCCTCATATATAGCCACCTCCACATGTATTCAGCTGGCCAACATCTGAACATGCAGAGCAATTTTCAGTTCTGCATTTAAAAGAGGATTTGTGGGAGCTATACTGCTGAAATGGAGCTGCTTTTATGCTTTCTCAATGCAATGCAGAAACATTTTTTGAGGGACAGACTGACACAATTTAGAGTCTGACTAAGCTAGACTGGATGAAAGGTCACAACAGTACGTAAAGCTTGCACAAGGTCATTGTGCTATAACTCCAGGTCTGCCTCAAACCTCTTACTACAGACTGCCCTGCATACATGATAAGAAGAGACCTGTGAATGCTTCCTTAGAGGAAAGCCTTATGGCTTTCTACTTAAATTTCTAGCTGTAGTAAAAGTCTTCCTGCAGCACTTTACAGCATCTCTACAGGCCCAGAATAGGCTCGAGAATCTTACCTCTGTCAAAATTTTTGGTGTTTGATCTCTAAATTAACTAAAGGAAAAATTTGCATGAATAAGCTACAAATTTAAGAGTCTCTGTTCCAAAATAGTAAGTACAAGATAATGTACTACTTATAATTTGACTGCATTATTGTTTATTGAGATAATTTGAAAGTCCCGTTTTTACACAGCACAAATTTTAAATTCTATTTCAGATCCATTGTGGGTTTGTTAAAGAATGTTTATGAGTCAAAGCTAGGAACTGATCTAATATAAACAGCAATTAAGAGAAAAAAAGCACACTTAATTGAAATTATTAACAGTTGAACAATTTGGTACTTGAAATATAGTATGTCTTACATGTCCCTTTTTAGATTAGTTTCTTGCTTTTCCAGAGCAAATGAGCTGTAAAGAACAAAACAGGATTTTTCAATTGCCTGTGTACTTCAGCTCCTGTTTTCAGACTTCTCTACACACAACTATGCAAAACAAAAGGCAAGCTGTGATCGCTTGTCACATGACATGGACAGTCCCACCTCAACATTTGGGTCTGAAAAATCTCTAGTAATTCATGGACTATCTCTTCCCCTTAAACTGTGTCTTCGGAAGTACGTATACATAGAGCTGTCCTATTTCTGCATGGTAATCTGCAACTTGCCAGATTCCAATATTGCCAAATTTGTGGCAAGAGTCACAGGATTTACCAAATGGGTACATGGCAACTGTACAATTTCTCCAGTTCCTTCACAGAAATCTTGGGCAAGTCCCAAGTATAAAAAATATCAGATCTACTGTTGTACAGCCTTGGAGATGATAATGTCTGCAACCCGAGTTAGCACTTTCTGCCAGACTTACTATTCATGAACAGTACACATTATTCATTATTCTAGTAAGGACATGTGGCAGCTTACTATAGAGCTACTTTGTTGGTATTAACAGCTGGCAGCAGGAAGGCCTGGAGAGATACAGAAAATCCTAAAAAACTGCTTCAAAAGGATTTCCAGTAAGGGAAGAGAACGTACCCTGGAAAATCTGGATTCTTAGTAATGTTTCTTAAGCCAGTTTGAGCTGTGAAAGCAATCTATATACAGCTGTGTAGAGTCTCCTGTAGGCTCATTTAGTCAGTTTTTGGAGTGCAAACACAAGATAGCCAAAAGCTGTCTGCTCCTCTAATGGTATGGGATGTGTCTGTCTACCTAAACTGCATTGATACTGAGAAAACTGGGAGCATCAAAGAAATTCTCATCCTGTTATGCTATTGCCTCAGCTACAGCAGCCAACACACTAGCACAGAAGCTAAAGACATTTTTCTTCCTTAATGAACACACATTGTCTGAAAGGTCAGCTCTGCTGTCACAGTACCTGATAAAGAAAGAAATAAAAGAAGACTTGGATCCAGCTGTGAAACATGAAAGGACGCACACAGATTCAGGAAGAATGTAGTGACTTACTGTGCTTCCTGCAATCAATGGGAAATGCAAAGCTGAATGCAAAATGTGAGGAAAATTCACTGGTTAATGTAAAAATTTAATCTATCATCTATTATGCTTTATAATCATTAATACATAATTGTATAAATAATGGTAATCAATAATCTTCTAGCTATCTTGTTACTTTCAAGAGCTCATTTGTATTGTTCAGCCACTTTGTCATTATTTTATTCAAATCCATAAAATAATATGTTTTAAAATCTATCTGATATTTTTATAAAACCAGTAACCTTTTCTATTGTAGAAATTATGCATGACAAAATCTTTTGCACCAGTTTTGCTGTAAAGAAACACCAGTATTCTTCCAAAAATAAGCTCTCTGGATCTAATTGCAGGTAAAGGAATAAAGCTTCAGATACACGACTATTAAGATTAAATCCATTAATTTTAAGATTAGATCCATTTTAAATCTACCTCCAAAATGACAGATAACCAAAATATGTCATAAGACCCAATCCTGTATTAAATTTCTAGATTTTATATTGTTCTGAGAGTTTTATCAAAGGATTTTCCATCTATAGTCACTTGGATGCATTTAGATGTGATGTGGGAGAAGGTAACACAGGTGGCTTTTGAAAAAAGGCAGTGGTACAAAAAATCAAACAGCTGCAAAGTTATCCACAGGCTGTGGTATAGGAATGGCTTAAAAATACTGAATTACCCATTCGGCTTCTCTTTTAGTCAGTCTCTAACTTAGGAGCTGTCTCAGTCTGTATAAGCAAGTAGGTATTTACGGGTCCATCAGAAAGATTATGCCACAAATGTCTAAACTGAGAGCTCAAGTCCCTCTTCTAATTCACATGTCTCATATCTCATGTACTTTTTATGTTGAAAAAATAGGGAATTTTCATTGTCTGCAGATTGAAGTAATATTAAAAAACTATAAAAGTCATATAGAACATAAAATCTTGTATTTTTTACCTCGCCCTCCTGATGACTCAATACCAATGCACTGGGCTTATGAAGTACATCATAAGGAGGATCAGAATAAGGAGAAGAAAAACCTTGTAACACAGCAGTCTGGAATGTTTATGGGGAACATGAAAAAAAGCACACAACAGAGCATGCAACCTAAATAGACTGATATCAGTTGTAAAGCAGAAGGTAAGACTGAGCTTGCGTATATAAAAGGATGGCATTGAAGTAAGAAAAATGAGGTAAAGATTAATATTAAAGAATAAATGTATTGTGTTTATGTCACAGGGAGCGAGTGGAGATTTTAACCCTTCTGCTCTAGAAAATAATGTTGCCAGGGAGCTTGACACAGAAGTAGCCACAAAAAGAAATCAGAGTGTTCTGCTCAAGATTTCTGAATACAGCAATCAGGTATGTTTATTAAAATATCTAGTAGCCATTAGAAATTCTGATGGTATTCATATTCAGATTAGATTTGTCTTTGTTACTGCTCAATACTTCCTCAAACAGAAGGCAAAGGGCTTTCTTCTCAATGGAATTTGAGATAAATTGTATCAAAGAATTCATCACGATGAAGAATATTCAAGTAGGCTTTTGAATGGCAGAGCTACAAGGAAACACTATTTTAATTTTATTTTAATATTTTAATATCTTCATTAGTGATCTAGATGTTGGGATCAGGAGCTCCCTGATTAAGTTTGCCCATGACACCAAAATGAGTGGGGTAGTTGACACTCCAGAAGGGAGAGCCACCCTCCAGGAAGACATAAACAGTTTGGACAAGTGGGCTAGCAGGAACTATATGAAGTTCAACAAAGACAAATGTAAGGTCTTGCATCTGGGAATACATAATCCAAAAACACAGCTGAGACTGGATTCCACCTTCTATTTCAGGATAGTCTTTTTCTCAAAAGAGTTTGCCAGAATTACTGTTCCAGAAAACTGCAAGACACTTCAATTTACATATGATGGCCTTTTTGGCTTTTTCCTGACCACAGAAGTGGATAAGGAATAAAAATGAAAGGACCAATCAAATTCTGAAAACTTTCTAGTTCAGGAAGCCATTATTGCACAAATATTTTTTCCAACCAGATAGAACAAGTAAAAAATCTACTTTCACATGCATTTCAATGCATCTTACACATACAAATTACTTACCTTCCCATTAAAGAAAAATGAAATTGTGCCTCTTCTTCAAAGAACTGGGCTCCATTTCATGGAGTTTTTAAACAAAAATGTCATAAAATATATTTTCTTAATAGCAGTGTGATTCAAGATCAATTTAACTACCAAAAATAGATAGTTTTTAAGATTTTTTTTTCCTACTGCAAATCTACAGTGCTTTCAGAACTGTAAAATCTGAGGGAATGGGAAATTCAGGGGAAAAAAACTGAAAAAATAAATAATAAAGCATTTCTATTCTCTGGCATGAGTACTCTGGGGACACAAGCAATAATGCCATGTCTTTCATCTTGGTATTCCTAAAAGAAGGTACATCTAGCTCCTAAAATTTTATCTTTCATTTATCACTAGATTCTGTTTCTGTGACAACAGACCTTAGGAACAGTGAATCAGATATTCAGTGATGTAACTTCATACAGTTTACACTGGAGTGTATTGAAATATGCCAATTTAAACTTGCTGAGGATCTGTCACAGCAGCTGACTGGATTTCAGACAGCCTAAAGCACAAAACTGCTGCAGCCCAAGGATTCACCAAATATATATCAAATGTTTTCACGCAGATATCTTCTGAATAGCAATCACACATTTTAAAATGGAGAGAAAGTTATTCACAATTAGTATACTAAACAACATAATCTTCTACAAATTAGACATAACCTAGTGAGTTTGGGATATCAAAGTTTCTCTTTCAGTGTTTCCTTTTTTAATGACTAATTGGTTTATATTAAAAAAGTATAGATGTATATTGTTATTTCAAGTTTTAAAACTATTAAAAGAAAGCCCTTCCATACACACAGTACATATAGAACCATTTAGAACAAGTGAGTTTCAGATGTGAAATACAAGAATGTCATTACAGTATACTCTGAAGAGGAAGCATATAAATGAGGCCTCCAAAAATACCATAGGAAATTATTTCCTTTTTATTTCAAAATTTATCAAATTACATTATGTTTTCTGTGTTCATGAAGGTACATACTATCCTTAACAATATGTCTTCAAACACATTTTTTAACCCTACAGGTAGTCACTATATATCAACCAAATACCACAAATGTTATGCTCAAGTATTTTTATCAGTTTCTCCCGAAAAAGAACAGTAGAAATTTTAAAATAATTGGATCATCTTTACTACACGATTGTGTAGATAATGATAAGGACTTTGTTGCTGTTTTTCCTTTATGCTGCACTATGGATAAATACATTTTATACATTATATACATTCTTTTCAATTATTTTCTATGTTGTAACCATATTGGATGTAACAGATACAGAAAAAGTACTACTTATTTACTTGGGATAGAAAATAAATGTAGAGGGGCAAACTGTAGTAAACATTTACAAATTGAGACTACATCTTCCCCAAAGTATAATTGGTTCCTTAAGTCACATCCAGGTTTTCAGTATAACTTCATTTGTATCTTGCCTACACTGCTTGTTCACCTCAGTTTTCTTGAAGTCACAAAGAAATGTTAACAGATGATCTTATGAGTAGTGTTTGCTACAATAAGTATGAAATTGAACTGCCAAGTTGGGTTCTTTTGTAGGTGTTGAGCAAATAAAATAACTTCTCTGTTTGTTTGTTTTAATATTTAAGTCTCTGTTTCTCTATGTTGCAAGCTATTTCCCTATACAAAATATTTTTGAATGAAACAGTGTCACGTCCAGAAATTCTTTGGAAGTATACTTTTTAAACTGTTCAACATATAAGATTTAAGTATTACAAGGAGCATTTTTTAAAGGTTTCTCTGAAAACAGTCTTTGGCAGCACATGCAAATAACAAGGTACATAGCAATTTAAAAACAGGAACAGCAATGATAAGAAACCAAAATGCAATGGTAGTTAGAAGTACCCAGAGTCATCCTAGACTGCATCTAGTGACAGTGTTTGGAGGAATGTCACTCTCACAGTGACACTCGGGAAACTTGAGCATCTAATTCATGGCTGCGGATTCCCTTAGAAGGCAATGCTTCTGAAACACAAGAGCAGGCAAACTCAGCGTTGAAGCCTAAACCCTTGTTCTGTATCCAGCCTGAAATTTTTCAATTAAGAACCAAATGAGGATGCCATTTTAAGGCATGTATTTATAAACTTCACATTTTTCAAGTAGCCATGTGCCTAGGTACATCCTTTACTGGAGATGAAATACACTAACCGTAACATTAATCAATGAAGTAAACGTTTATTTATAAAGACCCCTTTAGATTTATAAAGACTATCTTCTTAAGAGTTTCCCATTATATTTGTTTAAAGAGCAAAATCAAAATATTTTATAGTGTCAGCAATAGGACTTCCAGAATTTGAAGAATAAATCATAAAAAAACTTATAAGGTTAAAATGAAAAGCACTACAAAAGATTTTGCACCCAGTACACATCAATATAACTATAAAGTGGAACAAGCAGGGAAGTTACTTAAAAGACAAGCAGAAAAAAAGCTTACTCAAAAGTCTTTAAAATCTTGTATTTAAGTATGTTCTATTTTGTCTTTCACTATTCTTTTGAATATAAAACTAGGTCATGTTAAAAAAGTAGGAAAATTATTACCTGAGAATTATCTTCTGCATTTGAGTGTCTCTCACTTTGATTCATATCCACATTACTGTCATTTACATTTTCATCATTTTCAGCAAAAGAAGGGAGACAGGATAGGGAATCAAATCCTTTTTTGATGGTAGACTGTGGAACGTGGCTAAATAATAAAAGAAAACACAAACACTTAAATCCACACATTTACTTTTAAATTACTGTCTTCATAACCACTATTCATAACAGAATTTTCTCAAAATATTTGGTGTGTCCTTTATTTTGACAGCTAAATAGGGCAGTACAAAATGTGTCTATACTTATACTCCTTATCCTTACTAGCTTGGCACTACACACATATCTATGCTTGAAAGACCTGAACTGTTGCCCACTGAACTAACCATCAGAAAAAGAAAGCCCAAGCCACTTGAGGAAAACTAGATAATAATGCCAGAATTGAATAAATTTCTATGGCATCTTGACAACAACAACAACAAAATAACGAGCACTAATTAAAGAGAGGTATGGCAAAAAAAAAAAAAGTGTTTTGTATCAGAATAGTTTTTTGTCTTTTCCTTCAAAATGAGTCTCCATAGCTACCAGACTGCTAAAACACAAACAAGGAAATCTGTGCAAGGTCTATTCTGGCTATAGTAAAAGAAAGCTTTATCACTGACTTCAGTGGAGGCAGAAGTAAAAACTGGTGGAAATATAAATAACTTTTTGCTTGTTAAGAGAACTAGGAGAACAAGATCAAAACAATGTTGCACACATGCCAATTAGACAAATATCTAATTGTATTATTGCAGTAATAAAGAACAGAGAAAAATGTAAGCATGTGTTATCTAGTCCTCTTCTTAAGGATTGAGATAATCAAATATCAAGATCTTTAGCAGTAACACAGTCACAATTATCTTCCCTTTGAATGTTTCAGAAGATTTTATTAGAATAAAAGCAAGACATTAAAAACAGTTTCAGTCCCAATTGTGTATCTAAATCCCTTATCTTATTTAGGCAGCTATATCGCTTAATGAAATGCTAATACTTGCTATATATTTTCTCATGACTACCTGTTAATTAAATCACAAGAGATTAAATTAGCTGATTGTCATGGAAACTTCGCACATTAAATAAACTGTCCTTGACAAAATGGGGTAAGTTGACCATGAAGCAATCAATTTAAATACGAAAAAACAATATAAAACATGTTAAAATGCAAATACTGCAACATCTTTATTATTATTCTCTCATTCTTTTAATAACCTATTAATGGATATTGCTTAGAGCATTTTTATATGTTTCTACTCCTACTATTTGAAAACAAACTGTAAGTAATTTAATGTATTTTTAACCACTAAAATGCAACAAGATCAGCAAAAAAAATTATATTCCCAGAATATGCCAAAATATCCCAAGGTAATTTCCACAACAAAAATACTGCTATTAAAACCAAATTTAACTAGTTTATTATCAACCCATCCAATCATGATGATAAAAATGCAAAGCCTATCAAGTATGTAATTTCTCCAGTCTACTCAGAGATGTACTTAACAAAAGGTGTACACACCTGTACACACCTTAGAAAAATTACACACACCTCTGACAATTTACAAATTGTTGTTGGACTCAGGCTCAAGAAAAAAAAATATCCTCCAAGATAGCATAAACTTTCTGATCACTTGGTATGTGATACATTCAATGTTTCCTCTGTCAAGAGTTCAGTGAGAAGAGAGGAGATTAATAATTCTAGCATTTGTCTACCAAATGTTTACATCATAAACTGAAGCCTGACAGTAATGTATTATGCTGAAGGTCGTAGAAGAAAAAATCAAGGCCCTAATATATTTAATAGTAATCCTTTTTTTTTTTCCTCAGTGAGCAAGTATTATGCTGAATGCTGAATACTGACTGGAAGTGGTGTGTACATCAATTTCTGTAACTTCTTCTCTAAGACACCCTGTTTAAAGACCCTGGTATTCAAGGGTTTGCAGGACTTCCAAACAGTTTTGAACACAAAGTCATGTTCTGAGCATGAGCTGCTTCATCTTCACTCTCAGTCTTCCTGTAACAACTATAATGAATAGAGAACAGCCTGTTTTATTCATAAACATTAATAGTTCTGTGCCAAATATGTGACATCCATGAAAGTACTTCCTTGTTATGTGCAAGAATGGAAAAAGACCAGTATTTTGAGGAAAAATTTGAAAGATACCAAAGAATATTCCTCTCTGGTAGAAGTGATGTATTGAATATTCTATGCCTTTGGATCCACCGAGTAGAGAAACCAGTAAAGTGTTTTTGCTCGACAGAACTCCCTACCCTTTGGTGTCGGTCCTGAGAGCGTGAATCCAACTAGGACACTGTCCATACAGGGTGTGACAAGTATGGACCCGCTCCTCAGGTGCATGCCCACCTCCTGGTGGGCTTTCTCACCAGTGTGTAGATTAGCAGATTATAGAGAGTAGTATACAAATCTTAGAGCATCCCAACTTGCATCTCCAATAGGAGCTGTGTGAAAGTAGGGGGAAACTCCAACAAGAGAGTATGCAAGTAGAAGAATCTGCACGCTCAAAAGACAAGGTGTGCTTGTAACCCAGAAGACCAGAAGGATGTGTATAGTTGCATGTGTATGTCTCTGTGTGCATGATTAGAAATTCTCAGGATTAGTTGCAGAAAGGTTCTTCAGAAGTATGTACGTGTTTAATAACATTTAGTAAGCGTATAGTATAGTGGTTTATCTGTCGTATTGCTGATATTGATCCTGAATGTAAAATTCACTGATTGCCAATTGCTTATGAGACATCAATAAAACAATACTGCTGTGATCCTGATGATCTACGTGAATTGAGCAGTTTTTTCCCCGTGACAAAAGTAAACATAAACCATTCTGTTTTCACAGTGAAATGGACTAACAATAGGATGTTAAGGCTGAAACTACATTGAATACTTACTTGTATGTGGGTATTGTAATAGGATCCAATTTGTAATTCAAAAATAGGCTAGCAATCTCCACATGTTCTTCAGGCTTCTCTACCACAGGCTCTGAGAAAAAAAGCAACATGTTAAAAATTTATCAATATGAAATATTTAGTATTATTATTTTGACAAATAATTTCCATAGTGAATTTATCACACCTAAATAATTCTATTCTTCAAGCATCAATGCATACACTTGAATGAAAGAGAACAACTAGGGGTGGCTTTAGTGACTTGAAAAAATAAGTGCTTAACACTCTGATCCTCAGCCTGCAATGTATTAAAAGTGTTCTTAACCTATAGGCAAGGTTATCCAAGGTAGCTCAGAACAACTATGACAGCACATTCTGCCTTTGCTAATTTCTGTTTCTGATCACAGTATATTTTCCTAGCATGCCTGTAATACTTTCATATTCAAGATCTCTTATATCATGCATTCAATTCCATTTTGCAGTATAGACAAACCCTAGAACAAGTTTACTTAAAACTATGAGTTGTTGCAGCAGGACTTGTCACATACCTTAAAGGTTTAAAAGATGTTCAGAAGCTCTCATGGCTCTGCATCAGAGAGCTTCCGTGTTGCTTTGATAATACTCCCTCTTCATTTTCCCCAGTAGAGTGCTTTTTTAGAGCTAAATTAAGACACTTCTCAAAGCATTTAGGAAATAATAGCACTAAGAGGAAGTAATGCAAAACTGGCAAAAAAAAAAA